TACCCATCTGACAAAGGGCTGATATCCAGAATTTACAAAGAACTAAAACAGATTTACAAGAAAAAAAACAAACAAGCCCATTCAAAAGTGGGCGAAGGATATGAACAGACACTTTACAAAAGAAGACATACATGAGGCCAATAAACATATGAAAAAATGCTCATCATCACTGGTCATTAGAGAAATGCAAATCAAAACTACTTTGAGATACCATCTCACACTAGTTCAAATGGCAATCATTAAAAAATCTAGAGACAACACATGCTGGAGAGGATGTAGAGAAATAGGAGCACTTTTACACTGTTGGTGGGAGTGTAAATTAGTTCAACCATTGTGGATGACAGTGTGGCAATTCCTAAGGACCTAGAAATAGAAATTCCATTTGAACCAGCAATCCTATTACTGGGTATATATCCAAAGGATTATAAATCGTTCTACTATAAGGACACGCGAACACTAATGTTCATTGCAGCACTGTTTACAATAGCAAAGACCTGGAACCAACGCAAATGCCCATTGATGATAGACTGGACAGGGAAAACAGGGAAAATATACACCATGGAATATTATGCAGCCATCAAAAACAATGAGTTCGTGTCCTTTGTAGGGACATGGATGAACCTGGAAACCATCGTTCTCAGCAAACTGACACAAGAGCAGAAAATCAGACACTGCATGTTCTCACTCATAGGTGGGTGTTGAACAATGAGAACACATAGACACAGGGAGGGGAGCACTACACATGGGATCTGTTGGGGGGAAATAGGGGAGGGACAGTGGTGAGTGGGGAGCTGGGGAGAGATAGCATGGGGAGAAATGCCAGATATAGGCGACAAGGAGGAAGGCAGCAAATCACACTGCCATGTGTGTACCTATGCAACAATCTTGCATGTTCTTCAAATGTACGCCAAAACCTAAAATGCAATAAATAAATTAATTAATTAAAATAAAAAAAGAAACAGGATGAAGGTCAGAGTGATCTGATACTTACTAGTTTGTTTGTGTTTTGAGGTGTCTTTAACTGAAAATAGTCAGTATCCCAGAAGCACATTTTGGAGGTAGAACATTTTAATACCCTTTAGCAACAAGGTTAGGTAAAGTAGATATGCATGTACGCATTCCTGTAAACAAGTTACTTGATAGGTAGACGTGCACACAGCTATCTTTTGATCAGGCTGTCTCCTTATGTCTCCTTGAGAGTAAAAGATGCGTGGTGAGGTAAAATGACAGATCTGATATTTGCTTTAAATTGCTCAAACATTAAAGCAGTAGAGAAAACAAGACTTGTCAATATTGATGATTTTTGAACATAGTTAATATGGAAGTCATGTACTTAGAAGCTCTTGCAAATTTTATAATAGTTTTCTTAAAACCCTTGTATTTTTAGAATCATACACCAAAATCAGATTATCAAAGGTGTTTGACATGGTGGATGGTGGGGCTGTGTGTGGGGAGTCTGATGTATGGCTGGGCGTCTCTTCTGGAAAGCAGTTTGTCTAGATGTGCCGGGAGACTTACGGATGTCACTGACATCTGACCCAGTGATTCCTCTCATGGGAATCTGTACTGAGGAAATTATTGTGAATACCAAGAGCTTTGTACAAAGTGATTTATTTTAGATTTTGAAATTTGCAAATAATCCAAATGTGCAACAATAGAAGAATGGTGGGGTATCACATGATAAAATATTTTGCAACCCTTATAAATAAAGAAGCGTTTGGTTTTTACATACCACTGGAAGATACCTATAACAATGTTAATTGGGAAACAAAAGTGGATAAAATTGTGCTTACATACATCTATGTAAATAGTGGACATCTATGAAAAGAGTATGCATAAAAAAAGGCTGGAAGAAATGTAACAATGTCATCATTAGTTCTAATTGAATGATGACCTTCTACTGTAAAGGCATGCAGCACTATGTACAGTAGCAAAGACTTGGAACCAACCCAAATGCCCATCAACAATAGACTGGATGAAGAAAATGTGGAATACCATGCAGCCATGAAAAGGATGAGTTCATGCCCTTTGCAGGGACATGGATGAAGCTGGAAGCCCTCATCCTCAGCAAACTGACTCAAGAACAGAAAACCAAATACCGCATGCTCCCAGTCATAAGTGGGAGTTGAACAATGAGAACACAGGGACACAGGGAGAGGAACATCACACATCTGGGCCTGTCCAGGAGTGGGTGGAAAGGAGAGGGAGAGCATTAGGACAAATAGCTAATGCATGTGGGGCTTAAAACCTAGATGATGCATTGATAGGTGCAGCAAACCATCAGGGCACACGTAAACCTATGTAACAAACCTGCACATTCAGCACATGTATCCCAGAACATAAAGTAAAATAAAATAAAATAACAAAATGTCTTCATTAGTTCTGATTGAATAACGGACTCACAGTGAATGAATTCTTTTTTTTTTTTTATTTGTCTTTGTTTTCCAGATGTATTTTTACCATGAACGTAAATTAATTTTTTCCCTATGTAGCTTTATTTTTTTAGTTTTATAGAGGTATGCTTAACATATCATAAAATTCACACATTTTCAGAGTACAGGCTGATGTGTTACTGGAAGTATATACAGTTCTGCCACTACCACCAGTCAGATTTCAAAACACTGTGACTCTGTGAACTACCTCAGACATATTTTCAAGTAGACTTTATTTTTAGAGCAGTTTTAGATTTACAGAAAATTTGAGAAAATAATACAGATAATTCCTATATATCCTGCACCCAGGTTCCCCTATTACTAACATTTTCTATTAGTATGTTACATTTGTTAAAATTAACAAACCAATATTGATACAGTGTGGTCATGTATCAATTGTTATCAAAGTCCATGATTTATTTAGATGTTCGTAGTTTTTAATCTATTGTCCTTTTTTCTGCCCCAGGAATCCATCCAGGATATGACACTATGTTTAGTAGTCATGTCCATAAATTAGTTTTTAGTGGAAAGAAAAGTAAAATAAACTTTATTTTTAAATTCTCCAAATATATTAGCTATCCAATGTTCCCTTGGTTTCCTTGTTGTGTTGACTTGTTACTTGTTGACAAAGACATGTCTTAAATTGATTCTGTTCCTTTTTGCATGTCATGTGGTACCTTACAAATTTACTAAGTAAGAGTCAGCTAATTTAGTGAATGGTCTTCAGTATCTGGGTGAAGCAGAAGGGAGCGGGGAAAGGAAAAGGAAGAGGAAGAAAGCCCTTGCCTACACATAATTTAAAACCTTAGAGCTTGAAAAATCTTTGATTTCTGTTGCAGTTTCATGTAATGGAATTCTTTTGACTTTTGTGTTTCTTAGGTTGGAGATTGCAACCCTGAATCGAGCAGATGCAGATCTAGAGGCTTGTCGAACACAAATCAGCAAGGACATCATTGCCCTTCTACTGAAAAATCTCACCAGCAGCGGCCACCTCTCACCCCAAGTAGAGAGAAAAATGAGTGCTATTTTCAAAAAGCAGTTTCTGTTGCTGGAAAATGAAATACAAGAGGAGTACGATCGGAAGATGGTGGCATTGACAGCTGAATGCGACCTGGAATCAAGAAAGACGATGGAAAACCAGTACCAGAGAGAGATGATGGCAATGGAGGAAGCAGAAGAGTTGCTGAAACGTGCTAGTGAGAGGGTAAGGCAGGTCTGAAGGGAAGGTGTTCACTTGCCTCTTCCCTTTCTCTCAGGGATTTGTCATTTATCCATCTACCCACTCATTTGTCTATTTGCCTCCTCCATCCATCTGTGCATCACCCATCCAACCATCCACCCATTCATCTATCTATCCTTCCATTCATTCATCCAACCATTCCCACCATCCATCCATCATCATCTATCCATCCACCCATCTACACACTCATCTATCCACCCACTCATCCATTCATCTGTGCACCTGTCCATCCACCCACTCATCTACCCATCTATCTACACATCCATCTGTTCATCCATTCATCCCCCTACTCATTTATCTATTCACCCTCCCATCCATGCCACCCATCACCCATCCAACCATCCATCTACCATCCACTCATCCTCCATCCAGCCATCTACCCATCCACTCATCCATTTACCCATTCACCTATGCATCCATCCATCTACCCATCCACCTATCTGCCCATTATCACCCATCCATCTATCCAGAATTCATTTAGCAAAAATGTGTTGATTACTTATTGTCTCTCAGGCACTGGGCTAGCAGTGAAGATATAGGGGAAAATGAGACATGGTTCTTCCATTGAAGAAGTTCATAGTCTTACAAAAAATCTATACACATAAAAAATGAGACATTATTGAGTCATGTTATAATAGTGATATGTTCACAGTGCTGTGGAATTCATGGGGAAAGAAAGACTTCATTCATAGCAGAACACAACCTTAGAGGGCATGGTCCACAGAAAGCTGTGATGTCAGAGTGCATGTGTCCCCCTCTGGTCTATAGCCTGTTAGGTTACAGTTCTCTCCAGCACAAGCTCTGGAGTCAGAAAAACCTGGACTCACAGTCTAGCACATTCCAGCTCTGCTCCTGAAGGCCTTAATTAGCCTCTGCAAGTCTAATGGCAGCCACCTCTCAGGGTGGGTGGGGGAAGCAGTGTAGGAAAGGCAGCTGCCCAGTGCACATGGGCTGCAGAAGGTTCTCAGCACACAGTGCCCAGCTGGAGGTCTCAACGCTCAGTTGGCCTTCCCAGGGCTGGCCTAGATGGCTCAGAAATCAGCTCTTGTTTTTCCAAAAATTGTGTCAGTTGTTGCCTTGAAAGAACTGGAGTTTTTCCTGAATGTACCAAATCAAACCTGATTTCTGTCTTCCTCTGTGAAAGAGACATTCAGTTCATGTGACCTGAGCCTGCCTATCCTGTTCTGAACATTTACTACCCTAGGGAGGGCTTCCGACTACCTAAGAACAAGCTTCTGAACTCAGCTTCCCTTCCACAGACTGTGGCCATCCACTGATGCCCCTGGGAGTAAGTGAGCAGCTCTCTTGTTGACAGCTCGTGACTCACAGATGGTCATCTGTGGTCAGACGTGGGCTGAGCAGTCAAGAAAAGGGGCAAGGTCCTCACTGTCCTGCCGGCACCTGCTCCCTTGCTCCTGGGCCCTCCCTTGCCTTCAGACCATGCCATTTTAGGGTGTGGCTTATGTACTGTTCGGCTCAGCTGTCCTAGTTTCCTATGGCTGCCATAAAAAATCACCACCAATTTGGTGGCTTAAAACAACAGAAATGTGTTCTGTTATGTAATGGTTCTGGAGGCGAGAAGTCCAAAGTCTCCTTGTCAGCAGGATCCTTCCATGTTTGACTCAGCTTCTGGTGGCTCCAGGTGTCCCTTGGTTGAAGCTGCATCACTGGAATCTCAGCTCTGCCTTCCTGTGGCCTTTTCCCTGGTAACCCTCTCATCTCCTGTCTCTTATAAGGCCATTTGTCATTGAATTTAGGTCCCACCTAAATAATCCAGAACGATCTCATAATATCTTGAATTAATTTCATGTGCAAAGACCCTTATTCAAAATAAGGTCTTGGGGTTAGGATCTAGACATACCTTTTTGGGGGGCTAGGGGTGGGGGTGTCACCATTCAGCCCACTGCAACCTCCCTCACCAACCCTGCCCTCTGTTACCTCCTCTATGACTGTGTTGGTCAACATCACATATCCGTGAGCCGGGCCCTTAGGAAGAATGCATTGAATGCACTGTTCAGTGATTCAGCTCCTAAACGATCCCATTATCTCTCTTTTGATGCTTTCCTAAATCTGTTACAATTTTTTTTTTTTTTTTTTTTTTTTTTTGAAACAGAGTCTCACTCTGTCACCCAGGCTGGAGTGCAGTGGCACAATCTTGGCTCACTATAACCTCCACTTCCTGGGTTCAAGTGAATCTCGTGCCTCAGCCTCCTGAATAGCTGGGATTACAGGCACTGCCACTGAGCCTGGCTAATTTTTGTATTTTTAATAGAGACCGGGTTTCACCATGTTGGCCACGATGGTCCTGACCTCAGGTGATCTGCCCACCTCGGCCTCCCAAAGTGTTGGGATTATAGGCATGAGCCACGACGCCTGGCCAATTTTTTTTTTTTTAACCTTTAAAAATAATACATGCTCAACAAGAGAGGCTTGGACAGTAGTTTAAGGCAGCAGTCAGCAAACAAGGACCCATGAGCCCAATCTAGCCCAGCTTGTTTTTGTGTGGCCCACAAGTTGGGAATGTTTTTTGCATTTTTAAAGCATTTTAAAAATCAAACAAATGTAAGAATATGTGACAGAGACCTCAGGTGGCAAATTCTAAAATATGGCCCTTTACAGAAAGGCTGATTTCAGATCCAAAGCTGAAAAAGAAAAAGCCCTGAAAAAATAAAAATAAAAAGGGAAGCCCATCCCACCACTTGATGGCAGAGGATCACTCATTCGGCCCATTACTGAGTTCCTACTGTATCCCAGTCCTGGAGCTGTAGAGACGGCTTAGGTGGCCTTCACACCTGCCCTCAGGTTCCAACATACATTTTAGCCTTTTGCTTTATCCATCTATTTTTACACAGTAAGGATTATGCAGTTTGTATAATTGTACACATTTCTCATTTTCATGTTATACTACAGCATACACATTTGCTGATTTTATTAAATACTTAAAAACTATACCATGTAACAGTAACAGCTCATTCTTCCTCAGCATGCACGCTGTGCCTGCTACTGTTCTAAGCACATCCTGTTGACCGTCTTCTTAGTGCTCACAACTCGGTGAGGTAGGGACTGAGAGGATCTCACTTTGGCAGGTGAGGAAACTGAGATTGGGAAGGTTCACCTGCCTGAGGGCGGTCAGCCTCCCGTCCAGTAGCAGGAGTTGCACCCCTAACCACCGTGTGCACTGCCCGCTCTTGCAGTAGAGGTTACATCCCTCTGCTGGGCGCCCCACGTGAACCCATCCTGTGGGCATCTAGAATGTTTCCAGTGCCTCTGATACCAAAAGACTGCCTGGGGCAATGCTTTTCGATGCGGAGAGCATGAGGACAGGTTGCTGGGACGTGCCCTGCTTCCATCTGTCATGCAGTTCCTCTCCTTCTCGGGGCTTCCTGACCCTACTCTGTCCTGTCTTTTCTGCATCCTCTCTCCCACCCACACCACCTCGCCCGCCAGCATGCCGTGGGCAGGCACCATCACTGTAGATTTCCTGGGTCACCATGTTCAAAGACCAGCAGCCACCTTATTTGAACCAATCTTTCCAGAAATAGTATGTGAGCTGCAAAAGTTAATAGAACTGGTTTCCTTCCAGTTCATGCAAGTGATTCCATCTCACAAAACCACAGCTACTTTATAATTATCTAACGTGTTGTAGTCATCTTTAAATAAAATACATAAAAATATTGTGGGCGTCTTACTCCACCAAGAATTAGTTTTAAAAAAGAAAAGCAAAAGGAGCAGTCTTGGTTTTCCTGAGTCAGGTTTAGTGCAGTCCAGTCACCCCTCCATTCCCATGAAGCACTGCTTCCAGGGACCCTCCCCACCGTCCCACCCCCATGGATACCAAAATCCACAAGTTCTCAAGTGTCTCTTATAAAATGGCGTCATATTTGCACATAACCCACACATATGCTCCTGTATACTATAAATCATCTCTATCACTTATAATACCTGATATGATATAAGTTACATAGTTACAGTTTATATAAATAGTTGATATAAATGCTCTATAAACAATAGTACTGTGTTGTTTAGGGAGTAACAACAAAAGTCTCTGTATGTTCAATGCACACATAAATTTTTGACCTGCAGGTGGTTGTGTCCGTGGATGGGAAATGCACGGATTCAGAGAGCTGACTGTGATCAGTTAGAGCTGAAATCTGTTCACATGATGATATTTAAATGCCTATATAATGCCTTATAGTTTTCAAAGCATTTCTCCATTGAGAAGCCCTGGGGAGAAAACTGGGGGATACAGGCACAGAGGCAGGTTGCTTGTGTTTATTTCCTCGCTCCTTCCCTCCAGTGGGCACACTGTCCAGTCACCCTGGGCGTCCTTTTCCCATCCTTAAGACAGGGAGAATCATGATGCCTGAGGTCGTAGAGGGCTGTTTGGAGAATAAGTAAGTTAATTCTCATATACTTCTTCAGCCATCGCTCTGCGCAGAATCAACCCTGGACGAGTGTTTACTCGTGTAATTTTTATTTTTATTTTTTTTGAGATGGAGTCTTGCTCTGTCATCACCCAGGCTGGAGTGCAGTGGCACAATGTCGGCTCACTGCAACCTCTGCCTCCTGGGTTCAAACGATTCTCCTGCCTCAGCCTCTGGAGTGGCTGGGATTACAGGTGGGCAGCACCATGCCCAGCTAATTTTTGTATTTTTAGTAGAGATGGGGTTTCACCATATTGGTCAGGCTGGTCTCAAGCTCCTGACTTGATGATCCGCCCACCTCAGCCTCCCAAAGTGCTGGGATTACAGGCGTGAGCCACTGCACCCGGCAACTGAGTGTAATTTTTAAAGATGCCCATGGTGTAGAACAGTGAACGTGAACTCTTTCTGCTTGAAGGTGGGCAAACCAAATCCTGAAGGGGAAGTGACTGGCAACCCAGCTTCCTGCAGCCAGTTGAGAGCTGGGTCCTTCCTCTGGGTTTCCTCTTCTATCCCAGGCCCTCCTGCTGCTTTTCAGCCACTGAAAGAGGAGGCCCAGCAGATGACTTGCGCTGGGCTGCCTGAGGCCTTCTAACCCCTGTGTGAGTCTTTGTCTTAAAGGAAGAGACTCCTTCAGCACAAGAATTCTGACATTTTCACCATTTTTGATGGATTTATTTTCATAAAACATTTTTATAATTTGCCTGTCTTGCTAAATCGGGTATGGGGAGCGTGCCAGCACAGTCAGAACTTTCGAGCGGGATTTCACATTGTGGTGCTGTGGAGTCAACGTTATGCGTAGTGGCTGCTCCAGCCAGCCCGATGCAGGCCGAGCTTCTCACACTGGCACCTTTGTACCCTCCCTTAAGGTGCACGCCCCCCATTCCCTCCATGGGACAGTGGCTTACCTCCCTGAAGTCTGTTTTATTGAGAAGTCCGATAAGGGGTCGGGGGTGAGCAATTATTACTTTCACATTCGTTTATAATGCACGTTTGTGGCCAGGCTCAGCGGCTCATGCCTGTAATCCCAGCACTTTGGGAGGCCGAAGCAGGTGGATCACTTGAGGTCAGGTGTTTGAGACCAGCCTGGCCAACGTGGCAAAATCCCATCTCTACTAAAAACACAAAAATTAGCTGGACACGGTGGCAGACACCTGTAATTGCAGCTACTCAGGAGGCTGAGTCAGAAGAATCACTTGACCCCGGGTGGGGGTGGAGGTTGCAGTGCGCCAAAATCATGCCACTTCACTCCAGCCTGGGCAAAAGAGTGAGACTCCATCTCAAACAACAAAAAGAAAAGCACATTTGTTGACAATATTTAAAATATTAACTCTTATATAAGGAGATTTCCAGCTAAAAGATGTGAAGATTGAGCCGTGTTGAGTCCGTCTTCCTGCGGAGCACTCTGGTGGACAGAATGGTGGCTGCCCCCACAGGCAGGGCTGCTGTTTGCACTTTGCCCCAGTCCCCAGTACTCCCTAGTGCCTCTCCCACCAGGCAGCCCCAGTTGTTTGAAAACATGACCTCCCCTGCATTAGGGCTTATTGTTCTCATCTACGCCTTAGGAGGCTGAACTAGGTCAGGGGTCAAAATCGTTTCTGCAAGTCTCTGAACTCCCTTTAGAAGTGGGCCTGGAAGTCCTGTACACATGTATTACAGAGAGTGTTTCACTAGGGCACAAACACATCAGTGCCTCATACTTTATTCTTCAGCAAAGATAGAATTCTAAAAAAGGCCAAAATATTTTATTTTAGGATTTGTGTGTGTGTGCTTTTCGTCTTGTCTGTGAGAAGCTAAATGGAAATTACCCGACATTTCATTTCTGTAAATTAAAATAAATTGAGGTTTTGGACTTGTCAAATTCCATACTGTCAAAAAAAGAAGATCACTTTGATGGATGAGCCGACATAACTGGGCACCAGCTAGTCATTGGTAGCAGAATGCCCCTGCGGTGCCCGGACACAGGGTCCTGACACCCTCCTGGTTGTTGGTGAGTCGCATCCTTTGATTTAGATCAAGTCAGCTGTGAATACCATTTCTCTGTGATAGAGTGACTCATGTTGAATCCAATCCTTTTATAAATCAGCTTTTTTAAAAGACTGAACTGTTATTTGGTGAGCAAGGCAAACCGTTAGTATAGGCATGGATCCTGATAGAGTTGCCAAGAGGATGCACGTGGAAGGCTTTGACTTCCAGCCTGTGGCCACTGCTGTCATCCCCCAGGCTTCGCCGGAGCACCCAGAGGGCAGGGGCTGCCCAGTGTTGCCCCTTGGACTTCCTTGGAGGGCTCTAAATGCTTCTCTTTCTGGCCCAGATTCTGAGCAAACAATAAGTAAAAGGGGCTGGAAAGACAGAGAAAGCTAGAAATGAACGTATCACATTTATGAACTTCCGTGAGTAATTGGAAGTGGAGGTGAGCAGGTCTGTGACTTGGGAAACTGGGGAGCTGGTGATGCTATTTACTGAAATCAGAGAGTTCCGGTGGTGATACAGCATTCTGACCTTGTTTAGCCTGAAGGAGCTCTTGTCCTCTCTCTGCACCAGAGCCCCTTCTGCCTTTTCTGGGCTTCTGCTCAGCCCAGCCATGGCATGATGCTACACCTGCCTGCTCCCCAAGGCCAGGCATCTGTTGTCCTTTTGGGATGTCTGTACCCATGCCTCCTGCACATGTGAGCCTTCCCCGCCTTTGCTTCACCAACAGGCTCCACTGTCATTGCCTGTGTGACTTCAGAGCTTGGGACTCAGACACCTGCTTTCAACTCCTTTCCTCCCCTGCTGAGCATGGGTGAGAATTTGGAAAAGCTCTTACCGTATCTGAGCTTCTGTTTCTTCTCCTGTAAAGTGGAGTGTATCAGTTTTCTATCCTGCCTAACCAACCACACGCATTTAGTGACATTGCCTCAGCGTCCTTGGTCAGGAGTCTGGGCACAGTTGCCCTGTGACCTGTGCTCAGGATGTTGCAGGCTAGCGATCAAAGTCTCAGCTGGGCTGCGTTCTCCTCTGGAGCTTGGGGTCCTGGTCCAAGCTCATTCAAGCTGTTTGCAAAATTCACTTCTTTGTGGGTGCAGGACTGATGCCCTTAGCTCCTAGAAGTTTCCCTTGTGCATAGACAGTTTAAGCATGGGTGTTTGGTTCTTCAAAGCCAGCAGGAGAGGGTCTCTCTGTTTAGGAAGGGGCCAGTGCTTCTTTTAAGGAATCTCACCTGATCAAGTCAGGCCCATCCAGGATAGTCTTCCTTTTAATTAATTCGAAGTCAACTGATTAGTGAGTGACCTTAATTACATCATCAAGATGCCTTCAGCTTTGCCATATAATGTAAACTAATCACAGGAGTGTCTTAATCAGAAGTCCTATGCTCCCCTTTTATTCAAGGGGAGGGAATTTATGTGGCATGTATACTGGGGGCTGGGAATCAGGGACCATTCTAGAATCCTACCTACCCATGTGAGGTGAAGAACGGCTCCCTCTGAGGGCATGAGTCTTACTGAGATAATTAGGGGGAGGCTGTACAAAAATTCATCAGGAGCTCAGCAGAGGTGAGCTGCCTTTCTTTCTGCATGCAGGACCTCATAATACGCAGGCATCCAAGCAGCCATTTCTTAACACCTCGTTTGCTTCTCTTTACCCAAAGGATCTCCACTTGGGCCTGATTGCTGGTATTTCTCTCTTCAGCGAAGTTGAGAATGAAAGATAGGGGAAATAACCTTGTGAGTTTAACAGCATCATCCATTGATAGTTACGAGATTTCCGTTATGTGGTTCTTGATTTCTGTTTTTAGCAGGCTATTTTCTTTTTTTCTTTCTTTTTTTTTTTAGATGAAGTCTTGCTCTGTCACCCAGGCTGGAGTGCAGTGGCATGATCTCGGGTCACTGCAACCTCTGCCTCCCAGGCTCAAGCGATTCTCCTGCCTCAGCCTCCTGAGTAACTGGGATTACAGGCGGGCACAACTACGCCCAGCTAATTTTGGTATTTTTAGTAGAGATAGGGTTTCACCATGTTGGTCAGGCTGGTCTCAAACTCCTGACCTCAGGTGATCCACCCACCTTGGCCTCCCGAAGTGCTGGGATTACAGGCATGAGCCATCATGCCCAGCCTGCAGGCTATTCTCTAACAGTTTGATTTGCAAATTTCCACGCCTGTGAATATTATGCTTTGAGATTATTCTAGAAAACATTTAGATAACAGGGGAGGACAGTTTGGAACAGCATATTACAGGGTTTAGTAACCTCACCATTGTCACCTTGGGACTCTGTGTATGTCTATGTGTCGACATTGTTTTTGCTGTGTGTGTATATGCTGTGTGTGCACATGGACTTGTGCCTTGTGTATGTGCATGTTCTGTGTGTGTGCATGTGTGGATGTTGCATGTGTGTACGTTGCATGTGTGCACGTGCACACATAGGCGTGCACACACTGTATGTGCATGTGTGTATATTGTAATGCATATATGCATGCACCTGTGTGTTCATGTACACATTGTGTGTGCATATGTGCCTGTACACGTTACATTGCATACACATGTAGGTGCATGTTCAGTGTGTCTGTTTCTCATGCGCTGCCTCTCCTCTCTGCAGTCTGCTGTAGAATGCAGCAACCTTCTGCGGACCCTCCATGGCCTGGAACAGGAGCACTTACGGAAGTCTCTCGCTTTGCAGCAAGAAGAAGACTTTGCCAAAGCTCACAGGCAGCTGGCTGTTTTCCAGAGAAACGAACTGCACAGTATCTTTTTTACCCAGATAAAAAGTGCTCTTTTCAAAGGGGAATTGAAGCCAGAGGCGGCTAAAATGCTGCTGCAAAATTATTCTAAAATACAGGTAATGCCTCAAATCAGCCTGGCTGTGATGGAAGAGTAATTTTTCTAAATTGTTTCGGTAAATGTCTCCTCTCTCAGTGTTCACTCCTGCCTCTCCTTTGGACTGTGCACTAGTGAACTTTCTCTTCTTTCTGTCTCTTGGCGTGTGGGTTTCTAGTAAGCAGGGCAAATGGTGGCATGGAGTACAGGCCTTGAACTCAGGCTGATCGGGATTCAGATTTCAGTTCCACCACTGGTCTACTGCGTGAACTTGAGCAAGCTACCTTCTTTGAGCCTTTGTTTCCTCACCTGTAAGATGAGTGTAAAAGAATGCCCACACTCACCAGGTGTGATGAAAATTTGATGAGCTGACTCATGGAAAGTTAGTGCTTGGCATAACGTATGTTTAATGTGTATAGCAGTGGAAAATATAGGACAGGCCTGGTGGTTCCCGGTACTTTGGGAGACCAAGAAGGGAGGATTGCTTGAGTCCAGGAGGTTGAGGCTGCAGTGAGCCATGATTGCACCACTGCGTTTCAGCCTGAGTGACAAAGCCAGACCCTGTCTCAAATAAATAAATAAACACACACACACCTATGTGTGCATGTATCGATGTTTATGTGGGGTTTAGTATTTGCCTGGATATACTTGGATGGATTTGTGTATTTTTGCAAGTCAGTTTGAGTGTGAATGTTGTTAGTCCAGCAGAACAATTTCTCAGGCGGTAGTGAAAATCGTCTATCTGAAACTGTCAACATCACTGTGGAATTTCTTAGGAGGCATGCATGAGGTATTTTACATGCACAAGTGCGTGCACACACAGGCACACAGAGTGACATCACTGCTTTCAAGAATGCATTTTGTAGTTTGGCTTCAGCGCTGTCACTGGTGCTGATAGCTTGCTCTAGCTGATGGTAAGGGTGGTTGTGAACAAACTCTTACTTTACTTTACAGAATATTCTATCTTGACTGTTAATAAAATGTTTGACAAATGCAAATGTCATTTTTTAGACAAGCTGCCTCTTCCGGATTATGAGCCAAGCCGTGTTTCTAAAACAGCAAAGGTACCTTTGGTTGGTGCTGGAGGTCTTGATGCATCATCTGGCGTACTCAAGTCTATAGGGGTTGATTTGTTCCTCAGTCTAGTAATGTGTTCACAGTCATGAGTGCATAACTGTGGTTCTTCAGCAATGTTCTTTCTGATGTAGTGGACACCACTATTTCAGTTTTATCTTTATAAGTGAAAATCATTCCAGAAAGTTGGCTTGCTGATTAATTTTCCCACCTTGAAATTCCCTACTTGCACTAGAAGGACAGATTCTACCCATAGCAGAATTCTACCCACGTCCACCTAGGGTGAATCAGGGCTTACGAGCAGCCTCTGCTACTCCATTGCTAAGACAGTGGCAAAAGATGAACTGGAACACCCAGAGGAGGTGCAGGCCCGGGCGGCCAGCCTGCATCTGTGAGCAGGTCCTAAGCATTCACCCTGTCACTGACAAAGACAAAGGCTGCCCCTGCCCATCCTCCGGTGACTTGTGGCCAGCACCAGGCTGAATGCATGAGGGCCGGGACATCAGGCTGTCCCAGGAGGAGACCAAGTCATCGTTACAAGCCTCCCACTCTCAGAAGGCACCCAGGACATAAAGAGAACAAGCTCCCCACTCCATTTAATCTAGGGTTTTCCCACTAAATCCTCAGTGAGCGTACATAAAGCATAAATTCTCTTGTATTCATAGCTTGGTACTCAGACATTGTGGCATTACTTAGATATTCACAGATCGTACTCTCATGCTGAGCAGTGTCTGACTCTCAATGCCAGAGCACTCAAGTTAAAAAGAATGCATGCTATCGTGAATGATATCATACCAAATGAAGTAACTTCACAGGTGATAACAGTACTACCACACAAGTTTTTTGGACCAGAGCTATGAGAGTATTTCAGGCTGCCCATTCCGAATTTCCTTATGGGATGGGCTCCCATAAATCAACACGTGTGGATCCCATTCCGTGGAGAACAGGAACATTGCCACAACCTTCCTACTATATGGATTCTGGTGCCAGTGGCTCTTAGGGGGATGCAAGTGTGAAGCCCCACCTGACTGACCACAGAGCTTTTTACCCAATGGATAGTGCTAATTCCCAAGTGTTGGGATGTGGAGCTGTTACAGTGGAAAGGAGAACGGCCATGCTGTCACGTGTTCCCCGTTGAACAAAGCGTTGACTTTTTTGGTTATCCCTTGTATGGGCGATGTTTCCACAGATGGAGAAAAGACAGCCAAGCCAGTTCATGGGGTAGTTCTTCTGATGTTCCTGGTTAAAGCAGGGTTTTTAGAAGCAGCCTATTGTGATGTTAGAACACAGGTCCTGAAATTAGATTGCTGACTTCAAATCCCTGCTCAGCCATTTACCAGTTGTCTGATGTGGACTCAGTTTCCTCGTCTGTGAAATGGGAATAATAATACTGTCTCCCTAGGTTAAGTTAGATGAGCCAGGAAACACTCTTGGTCCAGTCTCAGGTCCAGAGAACGTACCTCACATTAGCTAGGTTATTACCCGCCCATGTTTGCGTGGGGTCTGTTCATTTTGTACCGAGGAAAAACCTTCTTGCTTTCTTTGTGCTCATCCTGGTCTTGTCTCCTCTGTGGTGGTGGGAGCTCCTTGGGGTTGGGCTGATGGCTAGCTTATCCCAGAACTTCAGCACCTTATCCTGGTGCTCAGCACTTATGGGAACTCCACAGAGGGGAGAGGTGTGTGCATGGGTGAAGGATGAATGGCTGAGTGAAATTTATGTTCTGTAGGGCAGTAAAGTTGTTCTGATAACTCTTTACTGTCAGGGTCTAGAATGCATTTTTCAAAGCCCTCATTTCTTATTTGTATGTAATTTTCCCATAGCCTTTGTTGCAGGCAGGGAGGTTAAAGGTGTTAATTCTCATGTTTCTTTTCTTGTGTATTTCTTATAAAAGGAAAAATCATATTTTAAACGTCTAGAAAGATTATGCTCTGAATTTTAATTAGGTGTATTTTCTTGATTTTTTTTTTTTTTGACAGGAGAATGTGGAAGAGTTAATGGACTTTTTCCAGGCTAATAAGAGGTATCACCTGAGTAAAAGATTTGGCCACAGGGAGTATCTGGTCCAGAACCTGCAGTCATCAGAGACCCGTGTGCAGGGCCTTCTGAGCACTGCTGCAGCCCAGGTGACCCACCTCATTCAGAAGCATGAGAGGTACCATTCACTACCATCCCAACAGTGCAAACTGTCTTAGTCTGTTTCCCGCTGCTGTAACAAAATACCACATACAGGATAATTTATAAATAGGAGAGATATATTTGGTTCACGGTTCTAGAGGCTGGGAAGTTCAAGATCTAGCGAGGGCCTTCTTCCTTCCTCATAACATGGTAGAAGGGCATCATGTGGGAGGAAGTGCATGTGTGAGAGAGAAAAAGGGGGCCAAACTCCTGTGATAACTAACAACAGAAATGGCATGAATCCATTCATGAGGGTGGAGCCCTCGTGACCTAATCATCTCATAAAGGTCCCATCTCTTAATACTGTCACAATGGCAATTAAATGTCAAGTTCTGGAGGTGACATTCGCAGCATGGCACAAGTGAACTGCCTCACACAAACCTTCCTCACTGGAGACCTGCACTTCTGTTTATTCAGCGTGTGTGCTGGCTGTTCCTCACTTATCATTTCTTTCTTTTTTCTTTCTTTCTTCCTTTTTTTTTTTTTTTGAGACAGAGTCTCGCTCTGTTGCTCACACTGGAGTGCAATGGCATGATCTTGGCTCACTGCAACCTCCGCCTCCCAGGTTCAAGTAATTCTCTGCCTCAGCCTCCCAAGTAGCTGAGATTACAGGCGCCGAACACCATACCCAGCTAATTTTTGCATTTTTAGTAGAGATGGGGTTTCCCCATGTTCGCCAGGCTGGTCTTGAACTCCTGACCTCATGATCTACCCTGCTCAGCCTCCCAAAGTGCTGGAATTATAGGTGTGAGCAACCATGCCTGACCACTTATTATTTCTTAAGAATTATCTTTTTGTAAAAATCCTTAGTGTTACAGAATTTTAAAAGCATATGCAATAGTCTAGACAAATGTATGAGCCCCTTCAGCAGGTGTTCACTCATGGCCAATTCTGATGTGGCTATACATCCCCACCCTGGATTATTTTGAAGCAGAATCCCAACAACGTGTTCTAGAGAAATCAGTGACGAGGCTCACATCAACCATGTGATGGAAGAGCCCACTTCTCTTTAAGATCTAGCACACTGCTGGCTCTTGCATTCACCTTTGACACTAAGAATAAATACAGAGATGCTTGTCTCGGATTCCAAGTGGTTTTCTAAGCAGCACCTGGGGTTCCATGTGGTCAGGTATATGGTGGTGTCACAGTTCTAAGTGCCATCATCTGCCTCTCTCCAGCCTTCCTTCTCAGCTATTCTTAGTGGTGACTTAATTGTAAACAACAAAATGTATCCTTTTCGGTTATAGGAAGCTCTGAAATGAATAGGGACATGACTATAAAGTGGCTTTCTTATAACGATATGTTGTTTTACTGTAGTTCTGCTACTTAGGTAATCTTATTGGGACTTTGCCCCTCTCCTGCTCTGTTTAATGAGGATTCGGTGAGGTGCAAATTATGCAAACACTCCCCACCTAAAGATGCTAATGAATTTATCACTGCAATTTACTTGACATTCCTGATTTTGATTTGCACTCAAGTGAAAGAACCAGTTTTTTGCCTTGAATTGAAGGGCCCACCAGCTGGTTGTGAGCAATCACCAGGGAAAGATGTTTTATCTCTTATTTTTAAATTCTATTTTAAAAGACATCATTATATTTCTAAAGCATGCATCTACTACTGATTCCTTCACCTGTTCATTCCTTCAAGAAACCTCCATTGAGAGTCTTCCCTGGGCCAAGCTGGGGACTCAGCCCACGGACGCAGGCAGTCTAGGAATGATAGTGGTAATGCTAGTGGCAGAGTGTACTCGTCAGGGTGCTCCAGGGAAACAGAACCAATAGGATATATAAACATGTAGACAGCATCGTCTCTTGTTTCCAGCTTACCATCCAAATAGCTTCCTATACAAACAGGAACTAGCTCAAGTGACTAGGGAGGCTGAGAAGTCCCATTGTCAGAAGTCCCGGCTGTCTGCAAGCTGGAGACTCAGGAAAGCCAACAGTGTCATTCAATCCAAATCTGAATGCCTGAGAATCAGAGGAAGCTGATGGTGTAAGTCCCAGTGCAAAGGCAGGAGAAGATGAGATGAGAGGTCCCACCATAGCTGTAAGGCAGAAGAGAAGGAACAGATTCCTCTTTCCTCTGCCTTTGTGTTCCATTCAGGACCTCAGCGTATCGGATGATGCCCGCCCATGCTGGGGAGGGCCATCTGCTTTCCTGAGTCCACTAATTCAAATGCTGATCTCCTCTGGAAACAGGCACACCAGAAAGAACATTTCATCTGGGCCGATCAAGTTGGTCCATAAAATTAACCGTCACACAGAGTATTCCCTGTATTTGCCTCTTTGACTTTGTTCTGTTCTTGGCACCAGGATTTTTAATCCCCCATCTCCCCTTGGAAGCTTCCATCTGCACCAGACTGGTCCTCTCAGATGCTTCTTTCTCCCAGAACTCTTGCCAGCTTCCACCCTAATGATGCCTCTCTTATGTTGAGCTTTCTCTGCCCTTCCTCTGCTAGTACTTTGGTAATGTCTTAGCTGCCCATTCTCCTAATTCTTCTGGAGGGGAAAGATCTTCTGATTCAAACCAAACTAATTTGGAGATGACTGTTCATGTACAATAGCAGTTAAGCTGCAGGAGAGTTTGGAGACCACATTTCTAACTTTACATCTTTTCCATCTAGAGCGGGGTACCTGGATGAAGACCAAATGGAAATGCTGTTGGAACGGGCTCAGACAGAAGTCTTTTCAATCAAGCAGAAGCTGGACAATGACTTAAAGCAGGAAAAGAAAAAGCTCCACCAAAAACTAATAATTAAGAGAAGACGAGAGTTGCTGCAAAAGGTATATAAGGCATGATACTATTTATTCTTCCCATAAGCACTTGCTAATACCCATCAAGTACCAGGTACTGTGCCAGCCATTGCCACTGGTGCACTAGGATCAGAAGGGCAGCTGTGCAGGCATCATGATGTGCCATCTACTGTTGATTGGTAGTGACTTTTTGGAATGCTGTGTTTAGCAGGCGCTGCAGTAGCATCCAGTTCTTATCCAACCCCAGCATACCAGAGGGTCATGGTAGACTAGTAATGTCTGCATAGGCAAGGGAATAGGAGTGCTGGTTTGAGTGATTAATGATTATGATAGGTGTTAACTTTTATTGAGTGCTTACTTAGCACTGTGCTAAGTGTGTTATGTAAGATATCTTGTTTAATCTTTATATTAACTCTATGAGGGAGATACCACTGAGTTGTGTGTTGGGGGGGGGGTCAGGGTCAAATATCTAGTAAGTGGCATGCATGGCATGCATTTGGAATCTCTAAGAATATGATGAGGCTGGAGTGTGCAGAGGGAGGAGGGTAGGGCCTGGAAGGGAATGCAGTACCAAGTCAGTGGGGGCATGGTGTGCCAGGCTAAGTGGTTACCTTTCATCCAAGGCCAGTAGGGAATGTTAAAGTGTCTTCAGCAGGTGAGAGAGAGAGACCAGACCTGTGATTTAGGAAGCTGAGGTGAGCAGCATGTAAGATGGAGTTGAGGAACCTGGGAACACAAACCCCAGGAAGTCTCTGGTACTTGACCAAGTGTGAGCAGATGAGGGCCTAAACTGACACAGAGCCCTGAGTACGGGGAGCAAGGACAGGTTCAGGGACTGTATGGGACATGCTGGATGACACCCAAGTAGTTGGTTGGTACCATTTGCAGGGAGGAGATAAAGAATAACTTTCAAATTTGGTCAATAGAAACTCTGCTCTTTATTACCAAGTTTGGGACCCAAGTGAAAGCCGTGATTCTGACCTTGATCACTGATGCACACCCCATCTTTGATCATCACACCGTTCATCTCTGAGCCACTGTTTAAGGGATTAAAACAGAGGGTCCAGGCCGGGCGCGGTGGCTCACACCTGTAATACCAGCACTTTGGGAGGCCAAGGCGGGTGGATCACGAGGTCAAGAGATCGAGACCATCCTGGTCATCATGGTGAAACCTCGTCTCTACTAAAACTACAAAAAATTAGCTGGGCATGGTGGCTCGTGCCTGTAATCCCAGCTACTCAGGAGGCTGAGGCAGGAGAATTGCCTGAACCCAGGAGGCGGAGGTTGTGGTGAGCCGAGATCACGCCATTGCACTCCAGCCTGGGTAACAAGAGCGAAACTCCGTCTCAAAAAAAAAAAAACCAGAGGGTCCAGGGCTTCATTTCCCTATGGTCTCGATCCAAGGTCAGTGTCTAGAAAGAAGGATGGACTCCACATCCTATAGGAGATTCTGGCAGTCTTCTGTGAAGGTTATTTCTTGTAGCTACTTTTGATAAACATTACGAGTGGCCCAGAATTAGGATGTAGCTCCACGATTGCATCCCCACTGTTGAGGACACTGTCTGACACCTGGTAGGTGCTCAGTACATATTTGTAGGATGAATGAATTGACACTCTCCGGTCACCAGGACCCATGAACGTGGGTTATGATAGACTAGTAATGTCTGCATGGGCAAAGGAATAGGAGTGCTGGTTTGAGTGACTAATGATAATGGTGGGAACTAACATTTATTGAGTGCTTACTTCGGAAGAGCATCTTATGTTCTTTCAAAATAGAACCGAGACTATCTGTGAACCCACTGTTATAAAGAACACCATAATGGACAGGTTTATGCAGCTCAATTTTTTCCCACTACAGGGGCCTTTGCTCCTACTGTTCTTTCTCCCAGGAAGATTCTTTCCCCATTTCTTAAGCTGATTCAGATGAGACCTCCTTCCTTAGGTCTCACTTAGATCTTCTTCCTTAAAAGCTTCACTGACCTCCTCATTTAACTTGTCTCTCAATGATCTTAGCTTTTTGGTTCCCCCTTTATAATATGACACGTTGCAGCTCCAGTGTGCCTAGCATATAGTAATAACACTAACAGATATTTACTGGCATAAACTACTCTGTGTCAGGCACTTTTCTAAGAGCTGTGCATGTATTACATAACTCACATAATCCTCACAACTTATTCTGAGAGGGAAGTCCTATCATTACCCTCAGCTTACAGTTGGGAAATGGAGGCACAGAGAGGTTAGTATACCTGCTTTGGGTCACTCAGCTTGTGAATGGTGGAGCCGGAACTGGAACCCAGGCAGTCTGCCATCTGGGCTTTACCTACTCAATAAATACCTGTTCAGTGAATGGTGAATGCATAAGGGTTTCACTGTATTTTTTTTTAAACAATAACTTTCTAGACCTGACATGGTGGCTCACAGCTGTAATCCTAGCACTTTAGGAGGCTGAGGTGGGTAGATCACTAGAGGTCAGGAGTTCAAGAGAAGCTCCGCCAACATGGTGAAACCCCATCTCTACAAAAAATACAAAAATTAGCTGGGCATGGTGGTGCACACCTATAATCCCAGCTACTGGGGAGGCTGAGGCAGGAGAATCGCTTGAACCCAGGAGGCCGAGGTTGCAGTGAGCCAAGATCATACAACTGCACTCCAGGAGGGGTGACAGAGGGAGACCTTGTCTCAAAATAATAAAATAAATTATTATTTTTTAAAATTAGCCTGGTGTGATGACTCACGTGCCTTTAATTGCAACTACTCGGGTGTTTGAGGCACAGAATCGCTTGAACCCAGAAGGCGGAGGTTGCAGTGAGCGGAGATCTCACCACTGCACTCCAGCGTGGGTGACAGAGCAAGATTCCATCTCAAAAAACAAAAACACAAACACAAAGGAATGACTTTCCAAAGATGAGATTGTTGGGGAAAAGTCTATAAACGTTCTGTGCCTCCCGCAATAAAGTGTTGCAGCCAAAAGGCTGTACCCGCCAAGCCCCGCCCCCACCTAATTTTCTTTTCTGGAACTGGGCCAGCACCGGGAGCAACGGAGGGAGCAGCTGTCCATCGCCGAGGCCTTCCAGGCGGCCGAGGATGCCGGCCAGTACCTGCGCCAGTGGAGGAGCCTGATGGAGGAGCACGGCGCCGCCCTGGAGGAGCTGCAGGAGCGTCTGGACCAGGCCGCCCTGGACGATCTCAGGGCCCTGACCCTCTCGCTGTTCGAGAAGGCCACCGACGAGCTGCGGCGCCTGCAGAACTCGGCCATGACCCAGGAGCTGCTTAAGCGCAGCGTGCCCTGGCTCTTCCTGCAGCAGATCCTGGAGGAGCACGGCAAGGAGATGGCCGCGCGGGCTGAGCAGCTGGATGGGGAGGAGAGGGACAGGGACCAGGAAGGTGTCCAGGGCGTGAGGCAGAGACTGAAGGACAACGCTCCCGAGGCGGCCACGGAGGAGCAGGTGGAGCTGAGACGCTGGGAGCGCCTGATCTTCATGTGAGTGCCTCCATGGGTCCTCATCACCTCTCCCCACCCCGTGGATGCCAGGGAGATTCCTGCCCTGTGGTTGTGGGGGTGGCCAAGCCTGAGACACCTGGCCCCAGACAGATGATTGACAGCGTTAGTGAGTCACATAAACTCACACCCCGCAGGGAGAACCTCGCATGTCAACGTCGCATGTCACGCAGGACCTATGGGGATTGAGCAGAGGGCAGAACAAGGGCCGTGGGCTTTGTAGTGAGGAGAGGATGGGTGGCCCCTGGCTCCCAGGGGAAAATGTGATCGGCTTGTCCAAATAATTCCCTGAGCTGAATAATTCCAGGGAGCTACTCAGGGATAAATGCAAATGTGCTGGTTTCCTTAATAGAAAGTATCCTCTGGGGAGGGGACATTATCCACAGCAGCAGAGTGGGAAGGGGAGCGTGCAGTGAGGCCATTCCAGGCCCTGCTGATTTCACCAGGCTCAAGGCTGCACATGATCTTGGCCTTCGTTTTAGTTATTCCACTGCACTGTATCATCTTTTCACCTGGCCCTTTCATCCCTGGTCTATTTCTTGGGCTATGTACCTTTATTATTATTATTACTGTTATTGTTATTATTTTGAGATGGAGCCTCGTCCAGTCACCAGGCTGGAGTGCAATGGTGTGATCTCGGCTCACTGCAACCTCCGCCCCGTGGGTTCAAGTGATTCTCCTGCCCCAGCCTCCCAAGTAGTTGGGATTACAGGCAAGGGCCACCATGCCCAGCTAATTTTTGTATTTGTAGTAGAGATGGGGTTTCACCTTGTTGATCAGGATGATCTCGATCTCTTGACCTCGTGATTTATCCACCTCGGCCACCCAAAGTGCTGGGATTACGGGTGTGAGCCACCATGCCTGGCCATGTCTTTATTATTAATTCAAGAACCATGTAATGACTTCCGCTTCCTAGTGGGATGCAGTGGACCACAGCTAACACTCCTCTTGCAATAACTAGAAAATCATGGATACATTTATTTTTATCATTTATTTTTTGTAGAGATGGGGTCTCACCCTGTTGCCCAGGCTGGTCTCAAATCTCTGGGCCCAGGCGATCCTCCCACCTCAGCCTCCCAAGATAAATCTCACAAGTAATTTTTTTTTAAGACATGGGAGGGTGGTGGAAACAGTGAAGACAAGTTGGAGTCAGATTCCAGAGGGGCCAGTTCCACAGTCCTCTACTTCCCCGAAATGTCTCCCAGCTCTTTGTGCACGCTGAGATTTGGCTTAGCCCAGGAAGGGAGATAGAGGCCAACAGAACTTTTGGTGGTTGTTTGGGGCTGGCATCAGATTGGAAACTGGAGGGGCCTCAAGCATGGCCAGTGTAGAATGAGACATGGGCAGGAGAGGCCAGAAGTCCCAGAATCACCACTTACGTTGGAGCAAGTTGTTCAACCTCTCTGGGCCTCATCTTTCCCGCTTGTAAAATGAAGACCACAAAAACTAAATCAAAGCATTTAAGGTGCTTTTGACAGTACGTGACACTATCAAGTGGTTTGAATGTGAAGACGATGTTTATGTGAGAGCCTGGGCTCCCCTTGGACCCTCTGATGGGCATGGGACCTGCCTGCAATCTCCTTCCTCCCTTGTAGACGTTGTCTCCTAGCATCCTGCTGGCCTCAATGATTTAATGCCCTTTCCTTCCCTACACAGTTTTCATCCCCGGGTCCGACCTTGCCACCAGGAAAATAGGTCCCCAGGTGTTTGCAAAGAGTGATATTATCTTGGTTTGCATTAAGTGACCTCTGGCCCTTTCCCATCTCTCTCTTTTGTGATTCTGGCCTCATTTATTTTTTAAACCTTTGTTAGGTTTTGCTTTCTTGACAAGGAAAACAAGATGCTGTCTTCTCTTAGTCCATGCAAATCAGTTCCTTAAGTGCCATTTCTTATTCCCATGAATTGCCCTCTACAGGATTTATTCAGCCTAGTCTACATTCTAGGAAATTCTCTTTTCATGTTCAAACCGGCTTTGGACTCTTTGTAGCAAGTGAATTCGCTTTGGCATTTCTATTACCAACTGGTCATTTTCTTCAGCTTCATTTGGATTCATTTTGCAGGGAGTATTACCAAAGCCACTGCTGATTTAGCCATTTAATGGGGGAAAAGAGAACTCTCACTTGGCTGTCAGAAACGTCTATGATTTTTCCAAGGGTTAAAGAGGATCTACTCAATGCACACAATGTGAGTCTGCTTATATACTTTGCTTATTTAAGATTCTAAAAGGTTGCAGCCTTTGTTTCCAAGGCATTATGCAGAAATGGCTTTGCACAATAGACCTGAAGCACATTTTTAGCAGCTTTCTGATTTCAGCCAAGATGGGGTTGCTGTGAAACTGGCTGGCTAAAGTAGGAATTAGTGAGGAATATCTTTGCTAGAGAAAGTGTATCTTTGAGCCTTCTTTCCTAAGTTCTTGTCTTGATTTTAAACTCCTTTGGGGCAAAGGTCTCGCCTCTTGTATTTCTGTGTTCTCTTGGCACTTACGTAACAGAGGATCAAGACGAGACTGCTGAGGGCCGATCTGGTTTGAAGGTGGCAGGAGTAATGACAGAGTCATCTCAGAGCTGCTTTCACTTCGGGTTCCACGTAACCAGCAAACAGCGGGGCAAAGGCTTTGCACTAGGGAAGTTACAAGGGAGCTGTTGCAGTTTCCAGAGATTGCTTTAAAAATCACTGGGCCCCATGAAGTGAGGAACCCAAGATGGGTGTCACATGACACGGGGTCAGGCCTTCAGACTATTTTCAGTAGGGAGCCCGCATGGTCTCTGAAGGTCTCATTCCCTTTCCCCAAGAGTCCTTTCTAGCTGAGCCACAGCCCCACATTCCCACATTGAGATCTGGGTATGGTAAGCCTGACTCTGGCCAACCACCTTGGGTGTTCTACAGATAATTCTAAATTTTAAAGCATCTGTCAGTGTTGGATGTATTGACAGAACATCCAAACAAAGCTACAGAGAATCTCTGTTCAGTGAGTAATTTTGTCCAGACTTTCTGAGCAGATTTCCTTTTACATTTCATGGGTCAGAACCAGCCCCCTTGAGGCTGAGAAAGCAATTGTGTAGCCTTTGTCTCCTTTAGGGCTGTTGGCGTCACTAGAAAGGAAGAGGGACTCTTTATCCATTTTCTTTTTTTTTTTGGTCTGGAATTTGATGTAAGGAGCAGTAGTGATGTAGGTCAATGCATTTGTTTCTTAGCACTACCATAACAAAGTACCACAAACTGGGTGACTTAAAAAAATAGAAATATATTCTCCCACCGTTCCGAAGCCTGGAAGTCCAAGATCAAGGCATTGGCAGGACCGTGCTCGCTCTGAAGGCACCAGGGGACAATCGGTTCCATGTATTTTCTTAGCTGCTGGTGTTGGCGGCAATCCTTGGCATTCATTGGCTGGTAGACGTCTCACCCCAATCTCTTCCTCTGCATCAGATGCCTTCCCTGTGTGTTTGTCTCGTTTCTTATAAGGACACCAGTTGCACTGCATGAAGGGCCCACTGTGTCCCAGTATAGCCTCATCTTAGCTTCTTAATTACGTCTGCAAAACCCTGTTTCCAAATAAACTGACATTCACAGGTCCCAGGTTAGGACTTGAATATATCTTTTTGGGAGCCACAATTCAACCCATAACACGAAGTCCCTCAGCATGGTTCCCAGCATGGAATCGGTTTTCACTGAATGATAGCTGTCAATCATCAACCTTCAGAGCCAAGCACAAGGGACTCCCATTTCCCTGCCCTCCTTGAGCTCAGTATTGTGTGTCTCCTCTGTCTATTGGTTCTACACAGAGAATGCTCTTGACCAGGCCCCACAGACAACACTTTGTTTTCATGTCTGTTTGTGAAGTGAGACCAGGTTATTTGCAAGGTCATGGGCACTGGAAGGCCTACTTCCTCCTCAAAGACACCCCGATAGCCTTGCCTCGCTCATTTCTCATTCTTAGCTCCAATACGATGTCCTACGCAGCATAGCATGCATTAGGTACTTAAGGAACGCCCGTGGCAGGAATGCACGATTAAAGAGCCAATGCTTTTTCTCCAGATGTGGATTTGAGGAATGAGCTTTGCATCTCTGGCTTCGCCACCCCAGCCCAGCCCCCAGGCTTTCTCTGTGTAAGAGCGAATCTCTGTTCTTCCTTCCAGGAAGCTCTGCTCCTCAGTCTTCTCCCTGTCTGAAGAGGAGCTGCTCAGGATGAGACAGGAGGTCCATGGCTGCTTCGCTCAGATGGACAGGAGCTTGGCCCTCCCCAAAATCCGGGCCCGAGTTCTGCTGCAGCGATTTCAGACTGCGTGGCGAGAAGCAGAGTTCCTGAAGCTGGACCAGGCCCTAGCGGCCCCCGAGCTGCAGGTAGGATGGACGTGTCAGTTGCCTCTTGATTACAGAAGCGGGGCTGTCTCCCAGCTGCTGACCCTACAGGGTCTGGCCTCTCCACCACCCTGAGCCCATCTCACCTCACGCTCCCCTATCCTCTCCTCTCTGGCTGTGTTAGTGTCCAGCTGTTCCAGGAATCTCCAGGGCTGTCCCAACTTTAAAGTTTATAGTGGACACCACTGGTGCTGTGCCCCAATCCTGACGCCCGGGCTGTTGCGCCATCCACCAGCAGCCATAAACCTTAGTCTCACCCAGCCACAATCTTCTCCTGATGGAAGCTGCTTTGCCTGAGATATTACTTGGTCTCTCCTGACCCCTCCTCCAGCCACAGCTAATGACTGACTTTGGGTACAAAAGGCCTTTCTATATGGCATAGAGGAGGGATGCTCAACTCAGCTCAGGTGGGTCAGGGAAAGAGGGGCTTTTGCACAGGGCCTTAAAGGATGATGACTAGCAGCTGCCTTTTAGTGAGCAGCTATTATGTGCCTGAGGGCAGACAACTGTTTAGTGTAGTTTTTGCTCCAGAGCCCCCAGGGACCAGTTTGGGCTCGACTTTACCTGAGACCACAGCCTTGCTTGGCTCTCCCCTTTCCTGTCCTGTTCCCTTGTTCCCCAACAGGTTGATCCTAAAGAGACCTCCTTCAGGAAACTGTGTACACGTAATCCCTGCCTCGGGCTCTGCATCTGGGGATCCCAACATAAGATGTGGCCTTCGAACTTCTGTTTTCTCTGCCACATACATGCTTTGTAGTCCATTGAGGTCTCAGCTCAAATGCCACCTCCACCAAGAAGCCTTCCTTGGGCACCTGCCTAAAATCACCCTCTCCCTAGGCATTCTTTATCACATGCTGGTTTCATGATTTTATTTATCATTATCTGAAATGTGCTGGTTCCTTGATTTCCCCATGGTCTGGGCTTCCACTAAAAATAAGCTCCCCGGCCCATTCACCACTCAAGAGTACCAAGTGCATAGTAGGTGTGCAGTAAATTTTGTTGGCTTAAACATCCCACTAGCCGAGCACCAGATGTGTGCTAAACACTGGGGCTTCTCTTATGATAATAATATGTTGAGACCGAAAACATTAACATCACTGAAGCTTACCTGGTCTCACCTAAAGTTCACAGCAGTGCTAAGAAGTCAGTATGATATCCCATTTTACAGATGAGAAAACAGAGCAGCAGAGGAGAAGTGAGTGGCCCTATTGGAAGGAGAGAACGGGGCTGGGAGCTGGTGTTTCCTGACTTTAAACTCACTTCTTTTCTTTTAGAGAAATAAAAAAACTCAGACATATTCTTTCTGAATATAAACTAGTGCATGCAGAAACAACTTGGAAGCTCTTATATTCTTTTAAATTTGTTTATGTCCTTTTTTCCCCCCGTTTCTTTCTTACAAGGATATGGGAGATACAGCATGTGTGGTGGTTCAAGAGTAAGGGATACATGATCAAAAATTCAAATATTTTGGAACAATAGGGGAAAATAATTTCGACATCACCGAAATGAGGGGAGGGAGTCCATGACCCACTGCTTCCCCTGCTTTGAAGCTGGTGAGTCCCAGTGGAAATGAGGTTTCTGCCTTCAAAGCCGCCCAGGGTGCTTGGTTTTCAGATGGAAATGGCTTTGGCCACTGCCTCAGAGGGGCAGACGTCATCTTCCCTGTTATGAAGGCGCTCGCTCCACGTGGGCCAGCAGGGCCAGGCTTTGCACAGATGGAGCGGCAGCTCCCTTCTCTTGCTCAGTCCCCAGATAGCAGCGGAAAAGGTGGCAGGAGAGCCTACTCCCGGTTTCCTGAGCACCAAGGCCTGGGGAAAAAATAGTTGTTTTAGTCTTCATGTTTTCATCTATAAAATGGGTGGAATGAGGGCGTATGGGGACAGGTGGAGCAATGGCAGTGTCAGCGGGTGCTTAGTGCATTCCGCATCCCTTGGCTGTCCTCACCCTCCTGTCACGTCATCACCAGGGAACCCCCACATTTCTTCCCTGCATACTTCTCTTTGATCTAGACCCATAAAACAGATAGTGTCTACTGTTCAACCTCATCTGCCGGTGGTCCCCAGTGCTCCCAGACCATTCACAGACGTGAGTTTCTAAGGCACTAGCAAACTCTAAAGAGATGTGCAGGTCAGACTCACCACCCTCTTCCTTCAGCACTTTCTGTGGCTCTCTGGGCTGGGACACAAGTTCCAGCAGACCTCAAGGCTCCCTGTGGCCTGGCCCCTGACCAGACCCGTGCTGGGAGAGCCCTCAGGGGAGAGGGAAGGTGGGAAGGGGAATCCTGACTTGTAGCATCTGCCCATTTCCCTGGTGTAAAACCTCCTGTCGAGGCCAGTTTCAGGTTTGACATCACTGCCTGGGAGTTGCAGGCTGGGCTCCCTGCCCAGCCCTCTTTAGGGCTATTTCCTTCCAGCCCCAGTCTATACCCCAGGCTCCGGGTCCTGCCCGCCAGCCTGACTTGCCTCCTAGTATCCTTAGTTAGTTTTCATCTTTTCAGATTGTTTTCTCCACTGTCATGGAAGCATTGCAAGAACAAGGACCTCGCTCATCGCATCCCCTTCCCAGAGAGGCTGACGGCTCTGAGGTCCCACAGCTAGTTAGGAGGTGGACATGGGTTGGGTCCGCTGTGTGACTCCAGAGCTGAGGTTCTGCCCACCAGGCTCCCTCTCCTCCCTTTGGTGGAAAGAGCCCACCAGAGTGTGTGAAGACCAAAGGCTCTGAAACTGAGCTCCTTCCAGAAAAACATACCTCTCTCCTCCCCTCTGGCGTAAGGCAGAGTTTTTCAGTTCTGGGAGCTGCAGAAACTTCTCTTGGGCTGTGAAGCCCGGCGTGGGCTGCATGGACTTGCTGGGGATCACCTTCTTACCAGTGTCTTCCCCGACCCCTCTCCAGCCGCAGTCCAAGGCGAGAAAGTCACGATCCAAGAGTAAAAGCAAGGGAGAGCTTCTGAAGAAGTGCATCGAAGATAAAATCCACCTCTGTGAGGAACAGGCCGCTGAAGACCTGGCTGAAAAGGTCAGACTTCTGCTTCACCCGCCGTTTCCCTCTGCACATGGCGGGGCTCATAGCTGACACATTTGCAGACACACAGAGCCCCTGGGGGCTGTGCTGTCCCTTTCCACCCAACCACTCATTCGCTCAGGTGCGATGGTAAGAAAGAGTGGGAAGACCCTCCCCCTGGGCCCCGCCCCAGTGCCTTCTGCCTGGAACCCTCTCCCTCTACTTCTCAGCCTGGGGATCTCACAGTATCTTTCAGGCTTCAGCTCGGGTGCTGCCTCTATTGGCTGAGCACTTGCTATATTTGTGCCTGGCTCTGTCCTGGGGCGTATGCATCTGCCGTTTCACCTCCATCACACTCTGTATCTCTCACACTCTCCTCCATGCTCCCACAAGCTGACTGGGCTCTTCCCTCCAGCCCTGTTTTTTTGTTTGTTTTCTTTTGAGATGGAGTCTCGCTCTGTCACCCAGGTTGGAGTGCAGTGGTGTGATCTCGGCTCATTGAAATCTCCACCTCCCAGGTTCTCCTGCCTCAGCCTTCCGAGTAGCTGGGATTACAGGTGCCTGCCATCACGCCCAGCTAATTTTTGCATTTTTAGTAGAGATGGGGTTTCATTATGTTGGCCAGGTTGGTCTCCAAACTCCTGACCTCAGGTGATCTGCCCACCTTGTCTTCCAAAGTGCTGGGATTACAGGCGTGAGCCATCACCTCGCCCAGCCCTGTTTTATATGTGATGTTCTAGCACACACTCCACAGTCTCCTAGGATGCTTTCACCTGTGTTCTTCTCTCTTTCTGGAATTACTTTTCTGCCTTTATTTACCTGGATAAATCACTTTTGCCCTTTGCTGCGCTGAGGTGTTCCCTCAGCTCTTGGATGTCTCCCCTTCCAAAAAGCCTTCCCTGAACACCCTAGATTTTCCCACTCGTCTCACCCCACTTCCAGCTCTTTCTTACCGTGGCACGTATCACATGGGTAGTTTGTTCCACAAGTATTTTGGGAAAACAACAGTATCCCAGGCATTGTGTCAGTGAACTCTGAGGCTGCGGCAGTGACTGAGGCAGCTCTGGCCCCTGCGCTCCAGTAGAGGAGAGCACCTTCTAGTTGGGGGAGATGGACGATGAACACTTAGAATGATAGGCTGTCATCAGTGCTATTAAGGAAAGGAATAAGATGGCGTGACCTTCCAGGCGAAGTAGGCTGGAAGCAGGGTGGACTGTAGGTGGGAGAGGAGGCGCGGTCTCTGCAGAGGTGCCGCCTGAGAGTAGAAGCCATGTGACCGCAGCCTGGCTGCCTGGCTGCCCTCCCCAGCACCCTGCAAAGGGTGGATTCCCAAGAGGAGTATGTTCCGTGAATTATGCATGAAGCCATGCTTTAGAGCTGCTGGTTTGTTCTTACCTTCCATCTATCTCCTTTTTCTAGTTTCTTTTGCTTTTTTTTTTTATTTTAGTGCTGGTGCATTTCTCAGAACACAAATGCATGATCTCATAGAAACTGCTCTGGGCACGGTCAGTGTCTCCTATCAAGTGTGTCCAGGTTGTTGATGTTTTAAGGGATCTGGAAAGTGGCAACCGTATTCCCACCCAGCTTCTATAGGAAATTGAACAGTAAGACAAAGATTAGGCAGATAGAGGCACAATGTCATCTTCCCTATTGGTAAAGGCTAATTCAAGAGATATATACATCAATGTGAGAGCTGCTAAACTACCTGAGAATTAAACAGACTCCATAACCCAATCACAGTATCACTAGGAGGTTCCTGGGGAGGGGGGCACAGCCTACCCCTGGGGAAGCAGAAATCGGGGTCCCAGAGAGAAGCAAGAGAGGGAAGCCAAGCTGTCCCGGTTTATTCCCAGCTTACAGCCAGAAGAGGAGAGAGCTGGAGAGAGGGCAGGTGTTGTGCACATTGAGCTCCTGGCACAGGGAGGAGATCGCCACCCTTGGGGGTGGAGGGGGCCTTTCCCCCAGGACCAGCTGCTTTGTGATCCTCTGTTAGAGGCGAAACCCACCAGAGTGAAGGTGGCTGTTGTCGGAGAAGAGCTGCTCATGAAGGGAAAGCTGGGGTTTGGTTTGGCAGAGGGAATGTGTATCCAGGACCGTGCCGGAGGCCACGGTGCACAGAGGGAGCCCAGAGGGTTGAAGCCCTGTGACAAGGCTGCTTTTCTGGAGTGCGGGGTCCTGGCCAGGGAAGGGGAAGCAGCCCCGTGGAGGAACCTGCTCAAAGGCCAGGCCGAGAAAGATGGGTGCCATGTCAACAGCACCCTTGCAGCAGAGTCACAGGATGAATGTCTGGGGGAGAAGGTGATGCAGAGGTGGTGACCCATGGGGACATCAGGTGCAGACAGCACCACTCCCACCCAGCGGCTCAAGGCTGGACCTCAGCATCCTCCATAACCCTTCCCTGGCCCCTACCTCATCTCCTCCTGCTCTGTCTCATGCTTATGTCTAATCCATCTCCTCCTGCTTCCGGCCTTGCCAAGCACCCTTTCTGCCGAGTTGCACGCAGTGGGCTCCCTACTGTTTCCTGTTTGTTTCCTCTTCCTTCCAGTTGACTCTCCTGCAGCAGCGAGCATCCTCTTCCTAAAGCTCAGCTCCGATCCCTTACGGATCCCAAACCAGCAGATCCATCTCCTTTTTTGCCCAAATTAGTCATTTTAATAGAAGGAACTAAGCACATTCCTTCCTGTAGCTTTTTTCTTTTTCTTTTTTTTAAGAACCATGTCAACCTGAAATAATTGAAAGACTCTGCACCCAGTTTTTGAGAGTTTATCCAAGAGACAACCTGGGAATTGCCATCTGGGAAACAGACTGCAGAGAAATGGGGTCAGCACTCTAAAGCTAAAAGTTAAGGTCTTCATTATATAGGAATAAAATAAAAAGATTTAACAGGATTACACCATTTTCTCTACAAGTCTGGTTTTAAGTTACAACAGTTTAATTAGTTACAGTTTGTTTTCTTTTCTGTATGGCTTGTTTTCATTTCCTTTCCAATTTAGAAGAGTATATTTAACATTCCATCTTGGCAAATATCATACCCATGAAGTCTGTGTGAGAGGGAAGAGGGAAGTGAATCTGTAAGGAAGATCAACAGTGCAGAGGAAAGGGGTCTTTTCTGGCACGCTTCAGTCTTTTACGGCATTTTACAAAACAACATAGGCTGGGAAGAAGGCTAACCTGTAATCAGGGAAACAAGAGTGCAGCTGCGTAGGTTACAGCTGCCTGTCATGTGACGCAGGCCCTGTAATCATGTTCCTTTAAGGCACCCAATAATACAAAGTTTCAGCAACTTAGGTATCAGATTACTTATTTTCACAACCGTTTACATTTTCTCTTGGTGGCAAGTATAAAATATTGTTTTCTTTGCCTTTTAATTTTTTTCTCTTTGTTTTTGCTCTGTTCAGGATTTTTGTTTTATTTCGAAATTTGTAAGGCTTCATATCTTTCATCACCCCATTTCTTTCTTAGTTTCTTTCCATTACTTTTTGGTTTTTAATTCCAGTACTCACCCTCTGTGCAGCGTCTCCTAGTTCACACTGGCATCCTGGTCCCATGTAATTGGCTGGAGATACTAGTTATCACTTCTTTCATAGCATGAACAAGGGTCCAAGGCAGGTGGGGAAGAGACATCTGAGGATGTCCATGGTGCAGAGGATACACACAATGACAGCCTGCCTTGGGAATCCTTGTGTACTGGGTCACCTTATCCAGTTGATGCATGAGGGGCAGCATCACCAGCGGGCTGTATGACTTGTTCAGGACCATCCAACTCATAGGTGTGACCTTTACAACTCAAAGCCATGTCTATTTGGATAGGAAGCATGGGTCTTTCCAGCTTGCCCATCTTACCTGCCACACATTCATAGACACCTAGGGGAGTTCCACAAAAGGCATTTGGCAAAAAAAAAAAAAAGAAAAGAAAAGAAAGAAGGAGCAATTCATAACAACGACCAAGAAGAACAGGGTGCAAGAGTAAAGATCGCTGAACCAGCTAGGTGAGCTCAGCAGGTGAGCAGAGGTATTCACGGGACCGGGATGGGGAGGCGAAGGGCGCTGGAGGTCTGTGTTTCCCGGAGGCTGTCTCGGCACCATTCCCTGCCCTGAGCTCACCTCTGCCGGTTACATTTGGGGCAGACCTTTGTTCTACATCCCAGCCCACACACACAAGCCAGACCCTTCACCTGGCCCTGGGCTGAAGACACAGCCATCTGCTCCAGCAGTGGAGGAAGGACTGGCTGGTTCTTGCTCCCTAAGGTGTTTCCCAGGGTGATTTAGATTTCACTTTTGTCTTATGCACTGATTAGAGAACTTAAAAAGTGATGGCATTGAATAAGAATGGTGCCTGCTTCCTTCATTTGTGTTGTAGTGCCAGGCACCTTGCTAGACACTATATGTGTGTGTATGTGTATGTATTAATATATGCATAAGAGAGAGGTATAAGTATGTATGGATGTGTACATATGAGCCATCCATACGTGAGTTCTATGTACGAGTACCTTATGTACGCTCATAATCCCCGTATATGCTGGTGAGGTGCACTGAGAGCTCAGTGCTTTCCATCTATCCACTCTAATCCTCACACAGCCCCTAAGAGAAGTGCCACTGTCATTAGTCTGTGAGAGATAAGGACTTGGAGGCACAGGGAGGTGAAGTGACTCCAGGGTCACAACTGGTCTTCAGACCCTGCATTCTTGCTGCATTACTGACCTATGCCTTGTTCATGACATCCTTTACCCTTCCCAATTTCCACAACAAGTAAGAACCATCAACGTCCCTGTTTTATGGATGTGGAAACTGAGTCTCTGAGAGGTTAGTGACTTTGCCCAGGATCCTGTAGCCGGGCAGTGGCAGATGCAGCACAGGAAGCAGAAGTTCTCTGTGCTCTGTCGCTGTCACACCATCTCCTGACCACATGCCCTGATCAGGACCGTCAAAGAATGTTTCCCCCAAACAATTGCGGTTATTTCCCACAGTTTCACAATGCAGGGTGAGCGCGCCTTGGCTCCTGCCTCTGTGAAATG